GCTCCATTAACTGAGGGCACTGGGCCTGAGCAGGCACCCGACGGGTCAACCCCAGCTCAGGCGACAGTATCTCTGCCACGTTAAGCATAGCTAGTGGGACCGGGATGCAAGGAACCACGTGGGGGAAAGGGCATAGCCCTCCGGTCCCTGAGCATGGATGACACTCGAATGACAAGGGTATCAGCCAACAGGCAGAGGTCCCTGCAGTGCCAGGAATTAACCCTTTGGCTGCCAGATCACGGGGAGGGCCCAAGGGTCCAGGGTATGCTGTATCAAGGGCACTGGCTGCTTCCCCACTATAGAGGAAGTATTCCGATATCTGAACAACTGATAAAGCCACTGTGAGGCACATCAGCTGGATATCTGCCCCAATCTCAGGAAGAATCCACCCAGCATCAATGATGATCACCAGAACATCAGCAACAATGATGGCTAACATTTATGAAGTTAGCACCAGGCACTGTGCTGTGCTGAAATACATTACCCCTTTCCATCTCCACAACAACCCAGGGATGCGTTGTTCTGATCCCCCACTCTGCAGTGACTTCCTCATTCTTTGGTGCCAGGGGAGAGAGGCACAAGAGAGAGGCACCATGTAGGGCCCCAGAGGAATGGGCCAGAAGAGGTGGGGAGGGGACCAAGGAGGGAAGTTACTAAAGAGAAATACACAGCCAACGGTGTAGTCAGGGTGACCCTGGAATGTGCCAATGTAACCCGAATAATGTAGAACCCCAAAAGTTAGGCTCACGCAGGTGACAGCCACAGGGAGCTACAGACAAAACTGGAAGGGAAGAGGGGGCCAGAGACCACTCCTGGGTTGGGGGAGGGCACTCCAAGCCAGGGATTCTCAATCTTGGCTGTGAATGAATCACCTTGGGGGCTTCGTAAGTGAGCAGATGCCCCAGGTCCAGCCCCAGTCCCTACAGTGATTCTGAATTAGAGCACAGTCAGGTAACTGGGACACCAGGAGGCTGTGTGTGCCTTGAGGAAGCAATAAACCTCTCTGAGCCTCAAGTTCCACATCTGCAAAATGGGAACAGCAGCAGACCCTACCCTCATAAGCAGGAGGGAGAAATGAGATCATGCACAGTGCTGGGCATAGCGTGGGCTCAGTGACAGAAACTGCTATGGTGCTACCATTATGGGCATTTTTAAACATGTTCTGCAGAACATTCTAGGGCACAGCCAGAATTGAGGATCACTGCTTTAAACGTTCTCTTTAATGTCAGCATCCATTTTGTTAAAGTAATTAACAAACCAAAAACAGCCACATCACCCGAGAAGGAAGCGTGATGATAAGCAGGACCTTCTACGCAGCTGCATGCACCCGTGGTCACATGCATGCGTGACAGGGTGGGGAGCCTGGCCTCACTTTACCATTTTTCTCTGTACAGGGATGAGGATGATTAAGAACACGTCCAAAGACCCCTGTCCAGTGCACGGCACGTTTCGGAGAGCCTCTCTCACCTACCGGGCTGCCCCACGACACACTCCCGTAAGCACTAGCCTTCTCTTCTCCCCCTGCTTGTCACTCAGCACAGCCCACGGGGTCTGGAC